GGCCTCCAGCAGTAAGGTGGGCACAGCTGGGTCTGACTAATGATGTGTGCCACTTCCATGGGGAAGAACAGAGGGGCTCATGAAATCTCCCTGTGTTCCCTTCCACTGTTGCAGTCACCCACGAGGCTGAATATGACAGGTATACAATGGGAGAAGCTGCTATAAAGCCCTGGCCAACCTTTGGCAGGCATGGCGCCTGAGCAAGAAATAAAGCTCCATGGGCAGCACAGTGACACACTAAGCTACTAACTGCAAGGTTGGCGATTCAAATCCACCCAGAGAATCCTCAGAAGGAGGCCTTCAGAAACATCCCAGCCACGGGAACCCCTGGGGAGCACCATTCCATGCTGACCTACGCAAGGTCGCCATGAATCAAAATTGGCTCAACAACAACAGCTTTTGTGTTTCTTGTGTTATCCCAAGATCACAGGGGATTACTTCTCACTGCAGCATAGCCTTGTCTGGCCCATTCCACACCCCTGCTGAACGAGAGACCCGTCAATGAGCCCAGAACTGAAGCTTATCTCCTAACACGCTTCCAAGTCGACAACGTCCAACAGAAAATAAAGAGCCCATGTTATTGTGGCACGGGGTCACTGTGCGTGGGAGACTACTCAGTGGCTGTGGGTTGGGTGGGTATGAACGACTCCTGGTGACTGCCTGGAGTTGTTTTGAAAATGATTCCAGAGTCTCAGCCAAGCGAGAAAGATGACACAGTTAACTAGTGATATCTGCGGTCACCATGGGCCCTGGGAGGTAGGGGCACCTATGGTGGGTATCTGCCATCCTGCGTCATCCTACTGCCTCAGGGGTACACATGCTTTCTTCGTGAACAAGCAATGATGCTCTGGAACCACTCAGCCTTGTCCTGAGATGCCCCATAGAAAGAGAATTAAGTGGTCGATCCAGCACTGATCCGAGGTACCTTCACCGGAGGACTGGAGTCATGTGTGCCCTGCCACACACACACACACACCCACCATCAAAAAATGCTGTCTGATATCCTAATTGGGAAAAAACAATGAACTTGTTCTTTGTGACAAACCATCCGGTTAGAATTGCAGTATGTCAGTTCTTCTCCACCACCTTTCTAAGGCCATCTTTTCCATTGAACTTGGGGCGCAACCAAGCTGAATCTGCAGTAAAATGAGGCAACTCTCAAGAAAGGACAGATGCAAAGTGAATGCTCAGAGCCTGGTATTCCCATGAGGGGATAGTTTTCTTTTTATTCAACCTCTACTCTTTCCCATGATCCTTCAAATCTTCTAACGGCATGGAAGGGGGGAACTAGCCCTTACTGTCCACCTCTGTGAGCCTAGTTTATGCGGGCAGCGGTTCCGGCTATATCACAAAATCCTAAGAGGCAGAGGTTACTTTTTATTTTTCCTTTTTAACAAATGAGAAATTTCAACCACAGATTAAGAACTTGGCCCAGAGTCTCGATACGTAGACCTGAAAATATTTGGCTCCAGGGCTCATGCTTGGTCTCCTAAGTGACACACACAGATGGGCTAGCTGCTTGCTAAGATCGCGTGTTCAATAGAAGGAAAGATTAAAGAGACCAATGTGATGTGGTAAGAGAAAAGTTAAGAACAGGAATCTGAAGGTGAAACAGACCTTAGTTGGAAGCTGAAAACTTCAGACTGTCACTTGTGAAACTTCATACCCCCATGCCTCAGTGTCCCCATGCCCCACGGGCCCCCAGCCCTGGAAAATGGGAATGCTTATAAGGTTTACTTTATCTGCTTGTGAGGAGCTGGTGAGATAATGAATTTAAGACGGCTATTAGTCCTTGGCACTTGACAACTTATCTCCTACTTTGTTTTCAATAGTTATTTTTCTCAATACTTATCATACTTTCCCTCACTTCTAAGTATCCCACAGAAACGTAGTGGATCGTTTTATATTAAAACTGGGTATGTGAAATGGAAATGTCTGCTTTAGAAGGAAGTTCTTGCCAAGTCAATGTCAAGCTTATCAAGATCCAAAAACCTCTTAAACTGGTCCATTTAAGAGGTTTTGTACATGTTAGATTTCTCCCATTTTCATTCTGGTATACTGCAACCAAATACTGCCTCGTACCTGGCCTGTGACTGTGCGGAAGCATTGAAAGTGTGGCTGTGACAGCCGACCTATCAGTTTACTAACAGTGAAAAGAAGCTAAGCCATCAGTTTGACCTTGTGAGATACATGTAGCAAGACGATGACCTTGTCCTCCGACCTAAAGTATTCAGGCTAGTCATCCAAAAGAGAGTGGAACAAAACTCAAAATCATAAACGAGACGCGGTTCATGGTCGGAGAGAGACAGCGGAGCCCTTGAGACTGGTCCTTCGTCCCCTTCCTGTCTGCACTGGACTCATCCCCACGGCGCAGCTCTCCGTCAAACCCGAGCAGGTCTGGAAGGGGCAATGACACTGGGAGCGATGCACACAATGCACACCTTACAGCCCCAACCATTCGGATTTTCAAAGACAAAGCTCAGAAGGGTTATGAACGTGGAATGGAAAAAGGAAATAGGAGGCGGTAGAGGAAAGCAAATGCGTATGAATGATGGATGAACGTAAAACTGATG